CTGTCCGCCACTGAGAGGAGTAGATATCCGTAATCGCCTTAGCGTAAGAGTGCGGGGTCGGGATGGCTTGTGCATCCGGGTCTCCCTCAGGTGCAAGCAGCATGGACACGAGATGAGGTACAGCAGCTGCAAGACACTGAAAGTCCTCCTGCCTATCCTCAAGGACGTTCGTGTCAAGAGCACACTCACCCCTGATGAACGGAGGACAGTAGGCTCAGACTCAGCAACAAGACTAGCAACGTAGTCAAGACAACCGGCGGCAGCAAAGTCAACAAGCTTAGCAGCAAGGGCAGACGCAGCAATGGACTCAAACGAAGAGTCAGTGGAAACACTGGCTAGAAGACGTGTGACAGTAGGACTGGTAGCACGAATCAAGTCAGGAAGAGAGTACGCAGGAGGAGACGGCAGAGGAACTCGCAAGGAAACAGAGGAAAGATGAAGTGTCATAAGGTGAGTGCCTGGGATAGGAGGAGGACGCGGACGCGGAACATGACGACCAGTGAGAAGAGCGTGAACAGGCGAGGTAGGACGGGACGCATGCCTACGACGCTCTGTGTAAGGGGAAGGAGCAAGCAGTGGGGAGGCTGGCTGTAACCGTGGCTGCGACTGGTCATGCGGTGGACATTGTAGAGGAGAAGTAAGGTAAGTAGAAGTTGGGAGACTAAGAACCAGGCGAAGCAGTGGAACAAGGTACGGTCGTGGCCGCACAGTGCCTCCAGCACCAGTATCGACAGCTCTTGCAGCGACAGTGCCAGCACCTCCAGCTCCAGCGTCTGTAGTACCACCAGCTCTAGCAGCTCCAGTACCTCTATTATGAGTACCTTTGGGACCACGAGCTCTAGCACCTCCAGCACCTCAAGCACCTCCAGCATTAGCAGCACCTCTAGCTCCGGCAACTCTAGTACCTCCAATACAAGCACCTCTAGGACCAGCAGCACCAGCACCTCCGGTACCTCCACCAGCAGCAGCGGCAGCAGCACCAGCAGCTCCAGCAGCTCCAGTACCTCCAGTACCTCCAGTACGAGCACCTCCAGGACCAGCAGCTCCATCACCTCCAGCACCTCCAGCAACTCCAGCACCAGCAACACCACCAGCTCCGGAAGCTCCAGTACCTCCAGCAGCTCCAGTACCTCCAGCACAAGCACCTCCAGGACCAGCAACTCCAGCGCCTCCAGCTCCAGTGCCCCCTGCGGCAGTATCTCCAGCGGCAGGCCCCCCAGCTCCAGCAGCGCCACTCCGAAGGTGGGTGCGCCAAGCAAACCACTCGCGTAGCTGTAGTGGAGAAAGAGGTTCCCGCTGTGACGAGGCACCCGCTGAGACGAGGCACCCGCAGGACCTCGAGCAGATACAGTACAACTAGGCTCAGCACCCTCAGACTCAGAACCGCAAACGGCCACAGAAAATGGGGAGCAGCCGCATGGATCATGGAGGTACGAGCGACCTCCATGGCTAAGCCAATGCGTCGCTCAGCAACCCCATTCTACTGCGGAGAGGCCGGAAGTGTGAACGTCTGGCGGATTCCCTCCCTACGACAAATGTCCTGGAAGAGGTCGGAGGCTAACCACCACCTCTGCCAGTGTGCAGACGCAGGAAAGGAAGGTCCTCGTGGAGCCGCTCGCGGAGCTGGAGACGAACAGTGCGGATCCAAGGATCAAAACATCAGGGACCTCCCCCTTGCTGTGCAAGGGAAAGGTCTTGGTGTAACGCGGATAATCGTCAACAACCAGCAAAAATTATTGCTCACGGCTATGTCCACGGACGCGGGCTGGGCCCCACACGTCCATGTGGGGAGTCTGCAAGGGAGCATTCGTCATGGGAAACGAGGAGTGAGGAGCAGCGCGCTGCCGCCCCTCGACACAGGGAAGGCAGGGAGGGGCAGGCGAGGGTGTGAGAGGAGGCAAAGACCTGGGAAAAGCAGAGACAAGGAGGCGGAGTGCATGCCACGGAGGCGTGGCAGGGAGGGGTGACCAAGGCGGTGGTGCCAAATAAGAGTCTGGTGCAACAAGAGGCGACACGAACAGGGGGCTGCTAGCTGACCTGACGCGGACGCAGACGTAGCTACCTGAGGAGGCTCACTAGTCAATGTGTACAGACTCGACCCAGGCCGACGGGTGAACGTGGCCAGGTGACGGCCAGTCCGGGAGCACGTACAGTTGCCACACGCTGTCCTCCAAGGGTAAAGGTGATACCCATTCATCATGAAGGACTGCGTTGCTCACCAATTTCGTAGAGAACGAGAGGAGGTGGAGTCTTGACAGTGAGCCAGACGGAACCACCGGACATGGGAGAACAGTGGAGTAACGTGCAAGAATCGGGCCCCCAAAGGGGTCAGCCGGTGCCAGGAGTGGTGTGACTGTGGTGTTGTCGCAAAAGAAGCAGCGTGAAGCACCTGAGTCAAGCGTGAAGGTGTGCAAGGCCTCAAGAGTACCAGGAAGAGCAGACTCGCTAGCACCAAGAGTAGCTGCCTCTATACCTGGGTCGGACGGCACACAAAGGTAACAGTCACCCTCAGCACTAACAGTCAAAGCATACATAGCAGCAAGGATAGCATCATAGTCAAGAGCAAAGATATCCACACCCTGCCTAAGCAGCTCTAGCCAGTGAGGGAGCTCATTCGCGTCGGGAAACTCTTCGTGACAGGCGTCGTCAAGACGGGAGAAGCAGCGGAACTGTGTGTGACCAGCCTTCCCACATGTCTGACCAGCGCTCTCACGTGTGTGAATGACGTACTGGCAGCGAACACTACCTACAGTCGCCCCAGGCTTAGCAAACCACTCACAAAGCTCCTTGGGCGTAGGGGTCTCACGCGGACGCTGTTGCCGCTGCCTCTGACCACCACCAGAACCTCCCCTCTGACCGGTTCCGCCCCGACTGCCACCACTGCCGCCGCCACCACTCCCACTGCCGCTACCACTGCCGCCACCACCGCCGCCACCAACGCCTGCACTCCCACCACCACTCCCTCCGCCACCACCGCCACCTCCACCGCCTCCACCGCCTCCACCACCGCCTCCACCGCTGCCACCCCCACCACCATTACCTCCCTTGCCCCTGCTGCTGCGGCGCCTCCCACTAAGAGCAGACGCAGCCCCGATCTCCTCAGCACAAAGGAAGTCAACAGCAGCAGCAGGAGCGTAGGAGGGGGCAAGGGGGGAGGGGGAACACCCCTCAAAGAAGGGAGTGTGAGGAGTGCCACGAGCAGCATCTACAGCGACTATGCTAGTCTCAGCTGCAAGGAGGTGCTTCTCGAATAGGTCGACAGAGAATTCCGTGGGGTCCATGGAGAGAAAGAGGTCCCTAACTGCGCTAAGAGAGTCAGGGAGGCGGGTGACGATGAATAAGAGAGCGATGTACATGGGGGGAGGGATCTTGTCTAGAAACTTGGTGGAAAGTGCGGCGCGGTAGCGAATGTCACTAGTGTGAAGGTGGGTGAAGAGGTCGTCGACTGTGGCAAAGGCGGACAGCTCGGGAAAGAGGTAGGACAGTATAAGGTGGCCGAGAGCAGCGGTGGCAGGGGAGGAGTAACGAGCGACTATCGCGTCGTACAGGACTTTAGCAGTCTTGTGCTGGCCAAAGTGGGCGTGTTCAGCTAACGATAAGTGGTTGCAAACGGCTAGGCGAGAAGCAGCGTCACGGGTAAGCCACTGTGAGCGAGTCGCACTGTTAGCTGTGTCGGGAGGGGCGAGAGAGGCTCCAAACGTGTGGTCAATCAACGAAACGATGTCTCTAGAGTCGCTCGATAGGTACAGCTGTAAGTTGTCAAGCCACATATCAAACTGGGTCGGACGGCCCTCATAATCAAAAGTGAGAACACTGAGAGAAGACATAGCTATAAGAGCAGAGTAAAGTGCGACCAGCAGGGCAGCACGCAGGCACGAATGGCGTCGAGGGCAGGGCGGCGCCCAAGCGCTAGGGAAGCGCGCAGGGTAGTGCAGGGCGACGCACGGCTAGGGAAGAGCGGCGTGCGGCCAGGGCAGGGCAGGGTGGCGGCCATGTCAAACTCATATGCTATAGTCTGTGTAGGCTGTAATGGGGTAGACAATATGGGGTACAACACTTTTAGGTTTTCCTACTTGTACCCACCTGCTTGCTGGTTCATTCATTCCTCATTTCTTCACATAATATAGAGCAGGTTCCCTAGTGGGAACGCTTCTTAGGGCCCACCACTAAAATCGAATTTTTTTTTTCCTGACCGGAGCGCGAGTCGCACCTGCCCGAGGCGCGCCCCGTGGGCCGCCCTCTCGTCGCGTCCCCTGCCCTTAGCGGCCTGTCGCGCCCTCCTAGAGGCCCCTCTCACGGCCCCTCGCGCCACCCTTAGCGGCCCCGTTGCCACCCCTAGCAGCCCCGTCGCCACCCTATTCGGCCTCGTCGCCGTCCTTTGCGGCCCCGTCGCCGCCCTTCTAGGCCCCTCGCGGCCCCTTCGCGGCCCCGTCGCTGCCCCTAGCGGCCCCGTCCCCGCCCTTCGAGGCCCCTCCCGGCCCCTTTGCGGCCCCGTCGCAGTCCCTAGCGGCCCCGTCGCTGCCCCTATCGGCCCCGTCGCCGCCCTTCGCGGCCCCGTCGCCGCCCTTCGCGGCCCCGTCGCCACCTCTAGCGGCCCCGTCGCCGCCCTTCACGGCCCCGTCGCCGCCTCTAGCGGCCCCGTCGCCGCCCTTCACGGCCCCTCGCGGCCTCTTCTCGGCCCCGTCGCCGCCCTTCGTGGCCCCGTCGCCACCCTTCCCGGCCCCTCCTCGGCTCTTCCGCCACCAGCAGCAGCCGCCGCCAGCAGCAGCCGCCACCAGCAGCAGCCGACCGCAGCAGAAGCCGCCGACACCAGCGGCGGCCACCACCAGCAGCAGCCGTCGCCGCCGACAGCAGGAGATGCCGCCGCGGTTGAGGCTCTGTCCCTGCCGACGCGCCTCAGCCCTGCCCCACCGCTTGCTGCCCCCTACCTACCAGCCCTGGTGAGAGCAATGCCGAGCCACGCCTGCTACTGCTGCCCCTAGCCTGCTGCCACTGCTGTCATGGCTACCCCTAGTGTCCTAGTCTTTGATGCTAAGGGTTGGGCTGTTGACTTTGAGGTCTGGGTCGATGATCTACAGCTTTTCCTACAGTGCGATAGGAAGGACGGTCTCTCCCTGTTTGATCTCACGTCTGGCGCCTCTACTGCCCCTGCTGCCGATGCTGTCAGCACTGTTTGCTCACAGTGGGCTACACGCGATGCTGCTGCCCGTCTTGCTGTGCGTAGTCACTTGCCGTCCACTAAGCGCGCGCACTTTAGTCACTACAAGAGTGCTAAGACCTTGTACGATGCTGTAGTTGCACACTACTCTTCCCCTGCCACTGCTGCCCTTAGCCGCCTCATGCTGCCGTACCTGTTTCCTGACCTCGCCGCCTTTCCCACTGTCGCTGACCTCGTTACGCACCTTCGCACTAGTGACACCCGCTACCGCGCTGCGCTTCCTCCTGAGTTGTGCGCCAAGAACCCCCCCCCCCATGTACATCACCCTCTACTACATAGTCACCCGGCTCCCTGACTCCCTTCGCTCGGTCAGGGACCACTTCCTCTCTGTTTGCCCCACCACACTCACCGTTGACCTTCTCGAGGAGCGCCTCCTGGCAGCTGAGAAGAGTATAGTCGCTGTAGGAGCCTCTCGAGGTGACCCTCGTGCCCCTGTCTTTGAGGGGTGCTCCCCTTCCCCCCTTTTGCCCTCTGTTGCCTCTGCTGCTGCCGTCGACTTCGTTGGCACCGAGTCGGTCGGCGCTGCGTCTGCCCCTAGCGGGCGACACCGCACCGGCAAGGGCAAGGGGGGCAAGGGCGCTGGAGGGGCTGGCGGGGGCGGTGGAGGTGGCGGTGGAGGAGGCGGAGGGAGTGGGGGTGGTGGTGGGAGTGGTGGCGGGGGTGGAGGTGTCGGTGGCGGCAGTGGAGGCAGAGGCGGCGGCAGCGGTGGCGGTGGGAGCGGAGGAGGAGGCGGTGGCGGCGGTGGCGGAGGCGGCGGCGGAGGAGGTGGAGTTAGTCGGGGTGGCTCTGCGTAGCGGGGCGGCTTCGGTGGTCGTCAGCGCCAGCAGCAGCAGCGCACTCGTGAGACCCCGCCCCCCCAGCAGCTTCGTGAGTGGTACGCTTCGCGTCAGCGGGGTGGGGGTGCTGGTCCCTGTACCTACGTCCTGCGTACCGACGACCGTACGGGTGAGCAGTGCAGGGGCCCGCACCCCACCCAGCGCTGCTTCGACCGCCTGACGGACGCCTGGCGGAGAGCTGCGGAGGTCGTGGGTTGCTATCTTTGATCTTGATTATGATGCTATTCTTGCTGCCATGTATGCTATGTCTACTAGTGATGAGGGTGATTGTTACCTGTGTGTTCCGCTTGACCCGGGCATTGAGGCTGCTGCTCTAGGTGCTGGTGAGGTTGCTGCTCTAGGTGCTAGTGCGTCTGCTGCCCCAGGTGCTGGTGAGTCTGCTCTCTCAGGTACCACGTCGGCTCAGGCCTTACACACCTTCATCCTTGACTCGGGTGCATCCCGCTCCTTCTTTCGAGACCGCACCACGCTTACGCCGCTTAGTCGGCCAGTTGCGGTCTCCCTGGCGGACCCCTCTGGGGGTCCTGTCCTTGCCCACTTCTCCACTGTCTTACCGTGTCCGCCAGCCCCCTCTGGCACCCTGTCAGGTCTCTACCTCCCCTCGTTCTCTACAAACTTGGTGAGAGGTGCTGATCTACAGAATGGGGGGGTGGACCAGTTCACTCCTCCAAGTCAGCGGGTGACTCACTATACGTGTGCTCGGACGGGCTGACACTTGGCCACGTTTACCCGTCAGCCGGGGTCGAGCCTGTACACACTGACTACCGAGTCTTTTTTGGTTGTTGAGTCTGGTCAGGTACCTGCATCGAGTCAGGTGTTTGCTGCAGCGTCCAGGTCTGGTCCTGAGTCTGCTCCCTGCTTGGTCGTCTCCTGTCCCACCAGACTATCCTCTGGCACCACCGCCTTCGTCACCCCTCCCTGCCCCTACATGCGTTCCGTGCGTCGAGGAGCGGCAGTGCGCCGCCCCTCACTCCTCCGAGTTTCCTCCGACAGAGGCTCTGCTGCAGACTCTCCACATGGACGTATGGGGCTCCGCCCGCGTCCGTGGCCAAGGTCACGAGCGTTACTTCCTGTTGGTGGTTGATGACTACTCGCGTTACACGACGGTGTTCCCCTTGCGCAGCAAGGGTGACGTCACAGAGGTGTTGATTGACTGGATCCGCGCGGCCCGTCTCCAGCTCAAAGAGAGTTTCGGCTCGGATTTTCCTGTTCTGCGTCGGCACTGTGACAGAGGCGGGGAGTTTTCCTCTGCCCTTCTGGGAGTCTTCTGTCGTGCATAGGGCATCCGCCAGACCTTCACGCTTCCGGCCTCTACGCAGCAAAATGGGATTGCTGAACGCCGCATTGGCATGGTCATAGACGTCGCTCGTACGTCCATGATCCATTCGGCTGCTCCCCATTTTCTGTGGTCGTTTGCGGTTCGGTACGCAGCGCATCAGCTCAAACTTCAGCCCCGGGTCTCCTTGCCGGAGACCTCCCCCACCTTGCGGTGGACGGGGAAGGTTGGCAATGCGTCTGCGTTTCGTGTCTGGGGATCTCGGGCGTTTGTCCGCGACTTGTCTGTGGACAAGCTGTCCCCCCGTGCAGTTCCCTGCGTCTTCCTTGGCTTCCCCCCTGACGCGCCTGGTTGGCAAATTTACCACCCCACCTCGCGTCGTGTTCTGTCCTTCCAGGACGTCAAGTTTGACGAGTCGGTTCCTTACTACCGTCTCTTCCCCTACCGCACTGCACCCCTCCCCCCGCCGCCGCTCTTCCTTGCGCCAGGTCCCCCCCCGGTAGACCCCCTCCCCCCTCAGGGTCCTGCCCCGTCAGGTGTGTCCCAGGTAGACGCAGTTGAGCCTGTCGAGGTAGCTGTTGACTCTTGTACTACTAGGGGAGTTGAGCCTAGGGGTGCTGAGTCTGGGGGTGCTAAGCCTGGGGGTGCTGAGTCTGGGGGTGCTGGGCCAGGGGGTGCGGAGCCTGGGGGTGCTGAGCCTGGGGGTGCGGAGCCTGGGGGTACGGAGCCTGGGGGTGCTGAGCCTAGGGGTGCGGAGCCTGGGGGTGCTGGGTCTGCTCGTGTGGCCTCTAGCCCTGCTGGGTTTGGGGCCCTTTCGGGTGCTTCGTCGAGGCGGGAGCTACCCTCTCCACAGGAGCTACGCGAGTGGTTTGCCGGGCGCTGGAGCCGTGCTGCTGGAGCTGGAGGTGCTGCTATTACTGCTGACCCTGGGGTCGACACTGGAGTTACTGGAGCCACTTGTCCTGGAGGTGCTCGTACTGGCGGTACTGGAGCTGCTGGGCCTGGGGGTGCTGCTGAGAGTGCTGGAGCTAACGGTCTTGCTAGAGCTGACGCTGCTGGAGCTGGAGCTGCTGGGGGTGTTGGCTCTGGAGGTGCTGCGGGCGCTGGTGCTTCGGAGGGTGCTGGAGTTGGCGCTGTTGGAGCTGGAGGTGCTGCTGGCGCTGGTGCTGCCGCTGGGGGTACTAGTGCTGTCCCTGCTGGTTCTGGAGGCGCTGCGCAGCCGCGGCCGTACTTCGTTCCGCTCCTTGAGCAGGTTCTTGGTCTACCGCCCTCTACTGGTCCTCCTCCTCCCTTAGAGTGTCCACAGCCTGTCCAGTCGCGCTCACAGTTACAGCCCGCCTCCCCTCTACCTGCTCCTTCACCCTACACTGGTCCTACTGGAGGTCTTGCTGAGCGTCGTGAGCCTGCGTCTCGTCCTGCGTCACCTGTTCGTGCTCCTCACACTAGTAGTCGTGCTCCGCGTCCGCGTCCTCCTGCGGTCCCAGGCACACACCAGATGGCACTGCGTCCTTCCACTGCTCCTCTGCGTGTCCCGTTGCCGTCTCCTCCAGAGTCCTCTCTTTCTGTCCTTGCTGACTCTCGTCGTGCTGCCAGTCCTACTCTCACGCGTCTTCTGGCTAGTGTTGTCACTGACCCTTCCTTTGAGTCCACTGCTGCGTCTGCCTTAGTTATTGAGCTTGTGGACTTTGCTGCTGGCTATCGTCTAGACTACGCTGCTAGTCTTGTTGCTCAGTCTGAGTCTGTCTGTCCTCCGTCCATCGGGGGTGAGTGTGCTCTTAGGACGGACGTCCTTGAGGACAGGCAGGAGGAGTTCCAGTGTTTTGCTGCTACTTTGCCTCATCTCGTGTCCACGCTGATTGTCCCTGAGGGAGACCCGGATGCACCAGACATCCAGACTCCTCGATCGTACGTTGAGGCGATCGAGGGTTCCTACTTCTCACAGTGGCACTCAGCCATGGATGCAGAGATGGCTTCCTGGAAGTCCACAAGCACCTACGTCGACGAGGTTCCCCCACCTGGGGCGAACATCGTCAGTGGCATGTGGATTTTCATGGTGAAGCGGCCGCCAGGTTCTCCGCCTGTCTTCAAGGTGCGTTACGTGGCTCGAGGCTTCAGTCAGCGGCAGGGAGTTGACTAATTTCAGACCTTCTCTCCCACCCCGAAGACGACCACTCTTCGGGTGCTGCTGCACATAGCCGCTCAGCGCGCCTACGAGCTTCACTCTCTTGACTTCAGCACTGCTTTCCTACAGGGCAGCCTGCACGAGGAGATCTGGCTGCGCCGCCCACCTGGCTTCACTGGGTCGTTTCCTCCTGGTACCCTGTGGAGCCTCCGGCGGCCGGTCTACGGTCTCCGCCAGGCACCACGTGAGTGGCACGACACACTGAGGACTACACTTGCGGCTCTTGGGTTTGCTCCTTCTACTGCCGACCCGTCGCTGTTTCTGCGCACCGACACCTCTTTGCCGCCGTTCTACATCCTCGTGTCCGTCGACGACTTGGTCTTTGCCACTGCTGACACTGCTGGACTCGCCCACGTGAAGTCCAGCTGCAGAAGAGACACACGTGCACAGACCTGGGTGAACTACGCAGCTACCTTGGCTTGCAGATCACCCGGGACAGAGCACAACGCACCATTACCCTGACTCAGTCACACATGGTGCAGCAGGTCCTTCAGCGCTTCGACTTCACGTACTCCTCGTCTCAGGCCACTACTCTGTCTACTCGCTCTCAGCTCTGCCTTCGGATGAGTCCGTAGAGCCGAGTGGCCCGTACCCAGAGCTTGTTGGCTGCCTCATGTACCTGATGACCTCCACACGACCTGACCTTGCATACCCTCTTAGCATCTTGGCACGCTATGTTGCTCCTGGGAGACACCGACCAGAGCACATGGTTGTAGCGAAGAGGGTGTTGCGCTACTTGTGCTGTACGTCGGGCATGGGGCTAGTGCTTTGAGGGCGACGTTCAGTGGTCCTCACAGGTCACGCAAACGCTTCTTGGGCTGACGACCAGGCTACGCAGCGGTCGTCAGAGGGTTACACCTTCAGCCTTGGTTCCGGCTCTGTTTCGTGGCGGTCTACCCGCTCGTCTTCTGTTCTCGGCTCCAGCTGTGAGTCTGAGATCTACGCTGGGGCCATGGCTGCACACGAGCTACGCTGGCTCACCTACCTGCTGACTGACCTAGGAGAGCCGCCTCGTTCTCCTCCAGTTCTGTACGTAGACAACAAGGCCATGCTGGCCTTGTGTCGGGAGCACAGACTGGAGCACAGAACGAAGCACATTGCTCTTCGCTACTTCCTTGCTCGTGAGCTGCAGCAGCGTGGTCAGCTGCGCCTTGCTTGCGTGGCCTCTGAGGCCAACACTGCTGATATCTTTACCAAGGCACTTCCGCCTTGTGATCATCAGCGCTTCTGTACGATGTTAGGTCTTGTGCCTACATGGCCTCACTTGCTCACTTCTTGACCTTGCTTGTACTGTGATCTTTCTATACCTGCATTTGCTTGTTTACCTTTATATATGATCTTGCATGTGAACTAGCCTTGTGGCCTTGAACTTGTGCTCCGAATGTGTGGTGACGTTGTGATCCACCCTGAGCTTGCTTTGCTTTGCTTTGCTTGACTGGTCTTGTGACCTCTTGTTCTCCCCCACTTTGCCTATGGGGGTGTGTCAAACTCATATGCTATAGTCTGTGTAGGCTGTAGTGGGGTAGACAATTTGGGGTACAACACTTTTAGGTTTTCCTACTTGTACCCACCTGCTTGCTAGTTCATTCATTCCTCATTTCTTCACAGGCCAGCAGGGCGGCGCACGGCAGGGAAGGGCGGCGCGCAGCAAGGAAGGGCGGCGAGCGGGCAAAAAGGGCGGCGCGCAGGCAAGAAGGGCGGCGCGTGGCAGGGAAAGCTGGCGCGCGGGCTGGAAGGGCCGCGCGCGGGCCGTGTAGGGCAGCGCGCGGGCTGCAAGGGGCGGCGCGCGGGCTGCAAAGGGCGGCGCACGGGCTGCAAAGGGCGGCGCATGGGCTGTAGGGCGGTGCGTGGGCCGTGTAGGGCAGCGGGCGGGCTGCAAGGGGCGGCGCGCGGGCTGCAAGGGGCAGCGTGCGGGCTGCAAGGGGCAGCACGTGGGCTGCAAAGGGCGGCATGCGGGCTGCAGGGCGGCGCACAGGCCGTATAGGGCAGCGCGCGGGATGCAAGGGGCAGCGCGCGGGGTACAAGGGGCGGCGCGCAGGCTGCAGAGGGTGGCGCGCGGACTACAAAGGGCGGCGCGCGGGCAGGGCAGTGCAGCGCACCGCCAGCAGGGCAAGGCAGTGCGTGGCCAGCAGGGCGGCACGACTGTCATGGTAGGGCAGGGCAGCGCGACTGGTGGGGTAGGGTGCTACAAGCAGCTAACGAATCGGTGGGCCCTAGAAAAAAAAACGGGTCCTGTAAGAGGACCTGCTCTGAA